TGTGTTGTGGGCTGCGGCAGCAGCGCAGCAGGTGGTCTCGGCACCTGTCAGCGACGAGACGGGGCGGTTGGCGCCAGGTATTTACGCGCGGCTCGGGTTGGTCCCGGCAGGGCGTGCCGGCACCGCGCCTCGCGCCGGCCAGTCCTCTCGCTTTTTACGCCTCGGCCACACGCCGGCCTGTCGTGGCGACCCAGTTTGAGTCGTCGGAAACGGCTGGAAGACGGGCGAGCGGCCAGCGACCGGCCCAGCCGGCGCGTCCGGTCTGACCTGTCTCCGCGCGTCGCCGCTGAGGTCGACGCCCGCTCGGGCGCCGCCGTCGGCCGCCAGGCGTCGCGTCGGCTTCGACGGCCGGACCCAGACGCGCCTGTTCGCCGGCGTAGGTGGCGTATCTTCTGACATCGCCGCCATCAGCGGTGCCGACAGTTCACCAAGGTGAAATCGGCCAAAATACCCCAGGCCGCCTTTTTCGGATCGCGTGAGCCGATCGGTTTCCGGTGTTGTCGCAGCGACGGGAGTCCTGAGCGGCGGCGGTGTCGCGTTCCCTGGGTGTGGACGATCGGCCGACCCAACCTTTCTGAACCTGACTGGGTCCCGGCTCGTCTCGGCTCGCTTTGGCTCGGCTCGGCTCGGCTCGGCTCGGCTCGGCTCGGCTCGGCTCGGCTCGGCTCGGCTCGGCTCGGCTCGGCTCGGCTCGGCTCGGCTCGGCTCGGCTCGGCTCGGCTCGGCTCGGCTCGGCTCGGCTCGGCTCGGCTCGGCTCGGCTCGGCTCGGCTCGGCTCGGCTCGGCCCGGCCCGGCCCGGCCCGGCCCGGCCCGGCTCGGCTCGGCTCGGCTAGGCTCGGCTAGGCTCGGCCCGGCTCGGCTCGGCTCGGTCACGTCCGCCGGTCCGCTGACGTCTGCGCCGCCTTTGTTTATCTGTGGACGGAAGAGGCCTGACGTGGCCGCAGCGGAATTCGGGCGCACGCCGGCCGCCAGCGGTGCTTTCGGCCGACGCCAGCCGGCGAGGGGACCGCCCGCTTCCGGGCCGGTGGTGGTGGCGGCGCCTGTTAATCAGCGACTTACGAGCCGGTGGCGGCACGCCATGTAAGAATACGACCATGAGTCCTACGCGGATCAGAGACGGGCTCCCTGGGTCGCGTGACGTCAGAGACGGGCGTGATTCCTCGCTGACGTCACGGGCTGGGGCGTCAGGGCCGTGATGGGTCGGGCTCGAAGTAACATATTCCCGACGTAGCATGACACAGGCATAGCCTGCAAACGGCTTCCCTGTGGTGAGCCGCATGAGCGAGATTTCAAATGGCCAGCCGAAATGGAATGTTTATATCAGTGTGGGTTGCACAGTGTTAGACGATGAATCGACCCCTATTTCTCTTATGCGGCTCTGGTAGAGCCGACTCAACGGCCAGCTTGGCGTTACCAGAACAACGCGACCACCATTCAGTGATCGGCGCAGTGGTCGCGTTTTGCTGTCACTTGAGGTCTGCCGTTGGTGGGGTCCCTTCGACCAGCGTTGGTTTAGCCATCGTGACCCGTGCCCTCCCGGCGGCGAGGAGACCGATGGGGTCACGTGGACCCAGCGCCTGGTGAGCTGGCACGGTGTCCACGAAACGTGCCGAATGGCGGGTTTTGCGCGTGTCTCTTTGCATTCCATTGTAAAGGCAGCCTTCCCGTCACCCGCATTGGTGTCGATTACTCGGCATATTTCGTATCGCGAACGAGGGCATTTGTGGCCGAACCCGTCCAGCTTTCCTGCTCTACAAGCGGCTGTGAGGGAGGCCGGTGACAAGTCGGTCACGGGTCTGGGGCAGCCAGCCTCGACGGCCTGTGCGGCGCGCCGCGTGCGCGCTGACCCATTTTCCGGGCCTTGGTTGCTGCGCCGGGAGTGGAACCTCCACTGCCGAACGTGGGAAAGCGGATCATGATGGTGGCGGCCGCAGTGCTGCCCTAAAGCCTGGCGGCGACAGAAGCGTGGAAGTGCGGCTGGCCGCGGCGCGAGCTCGTGGCACACATTCGGCGGCCGGCTGGCCCGGTTTAGTGTGGCCGGTCTGGCGTCGCCAGGTGGCGGCATATTCTGGCCCAGTCTGGCTCGGCTCGGCCGGACCTTCTGGCCCGGTCTGGCTCGGCTCGGCCGGACCTTCTGGCCCGGTCTGGCTCGGCTCGGCCGGACCTTCTGGCCCGGTCTGGCTTGGCTCGGCCTGGACCAATGGCCCGGTCTTGCTCGGCTCGGCCGGACCTTCTGGCCCGGTCTGGCTGGGCTCGGCCCGGACCAATGGTCCGGTTTGGTTCGGCTCGGCCCGGACCAATGGCCCGGTCTGGCTCGGCTCGGCCCGGACCGATGGCCCGGTCTGGCTCGGCTCGGTCCGAACCAACGGCCCGGTCTGGCTCGGCTCGGCCCGGACCTTCTGGCCCGGTCTGGCTCGGCTCAGCCCGGACCGATGGCCCGGTCTGGCTTGGCTCGGCCCGAACCGATGGCCCGGTCTGGCTCGGCTCGGCCCGAACCGATGGGGCGGTCGCTGCGACGACGCCGGGGCGGCGCCGGACAGGGTTGGAGCCTGCCCCAGGAGACCCCGAGCGACGCCCCAGCCGGCCCGGGCTGCCCACCCGGTGCTGGGTCTGCCCTCCTGCCGTTTTGACTTCAGTCGGAGTGGCTGGGGCAGTGTTGACCCCATGCCTTCAGAAGGAGGCAAACTTGTCATTCCGGAGGGAAGGGAGATGCGCAGCTGACTGGAAACTACAAGGCTATAAAGTGTCTTCGGCCGATAAAGGGTAACTGGCTGCTAACTGAGCACAGGGCTGTATGGGGGGGGGGGGGGGGGAAAGACACTCCGCGGCAAACCGAATGTCTCCTCATAGGCAGACGCAGCGGGAAGTGTCCTATTGACATATGCAAGCACAGTGATGGGCGAGTGACACACATCCCACCATGTCTATGTGCTCAACACTCTGCTATGACTTTTTCTGCCGTCCATTATATCGCCTCGTCAAGGAACATCTGCAGTCTCGCCTTGTTCTCAAGAGCGGCTTAGCTTTCGGCTCCAGGCCCCGCAGTCGGGGAGAGAGTCAGCCGAGACCTGCCCGCGATCGACGCTAGCGGCCTTATTGTCCTCCTGTCCGCCCTACCGTCGTTGTCTGTGCTGGCTGACTCGCTGCTGCTTGGGCTCAGCGGTTCACCGTGGTTAGTGACGCCGCGGCAGTGCGACAGCCGAAGCGCGGCTGCCCGCTCGGCACTCGAGTGTGGCGCCTCGGGTGGCGCGTGACGCTCCGTCGGCACGCGCGCCGGGCCACCACACGCATCTGTCGGCCAGAGGGGGCGCGCCGCCGCCACCGCCGCCGCTTTCACTTTCAGGCAGCGGGCGCGTGCGGCTGGGAGGGCTGGCTGGGGTCTGGCGACCGCCGCCAGCCGCGGTTCAGGGCCACCCGGCGGGTGACGAGTTCGCGACCCCCGGCCGTGACGCCGCTGACCGCCGCACAGAGGCGGCGGCGGCGGCAGCCGTGCGCCGTTTCCGCCGCTGCCGGCGGCCGGCGGGTGAACGGCCGACGGTGCGGCGGCCGCTGCGGCCGGCCGGGCCCGGCGCGCTGCTAACGGGACCGCTCGCGCGACGCGCCGCCGCCCAGCCGACCGGGCCGGCAGCGGCCGGGCCGGCCGCCGCGTGCCCTGCCGAGCTATCGGCGTTCGTGGCGGGCGGGGGCTGGCGGCCACGACCTTGGCGAGGGGCGTATAAGGGCCGGCCGGCCGGCCGGCTGCAGCAGCAGCTGGCCGGCGGTGGCGGCGGCGGCGACGGCGGCGTCGCCGGGTGCTCAGCAGCGGCCGTCGGATCGGCACCGACCGATCGATCGGGCGGCGGGCCAGCCGCGCCGCCAGCTGAGCTGCGAGCGGCGCACAGCCGCCGCCGTCGACACGAGCCACCGCTGCCGGCCCGGCGGACTCCCAGCGGCACACACGAACCTTTGCTGCTGCTGCGGCTGCGGCTGACCGGGAGGGGCCTGGCATTCACAACAAGCAGTTGGTGCTCCCCTGTATAGTTGTTTGTAACATGGGGCAGCCTCTTTCGTCAAGTTGTCACACAAAGTTCGATAATGGGTACCATGGGAGATGACAAGGACATCTCGCCTGGAAATCTCGCCGAGTTGCCGTGCAACCCGTCTTGCTAGCCACGCTCGGCTCGTTACACGAGTGGCTCGCCCTCACGCACTGCACGCGCGTCCCTGCGGCCTTAACACCCACGCCCGTGTCGCTCCAACAGCAGTATTGGCACCGGACACCTCACGCTTGTCGTTGCCGTTATCTCTAGGTTTCATTTATTTGGGATTCCGTTACGTTGAATCCTGCTTTTCATCATGCGTATGATTCGAGATGAATATTCAGGCAGTAGTTAGGGATGATAAACAGGATACCAGTTCTTCAGGTAGGATCAAAGGAACTGATCGGATAACTTGAACAGTGGTGCGTAAATAGCAAGGCGGCCCGGGAATGTTGAAGTGACCATGTCAGCTGTTTATCACAATTTTGAACGAGTGGAATCTGCGAATTGCGCCCCTTGGACAATACGTTAGCTCGTATTCTAAACATTCCTGCTCCCTCCGAGCCTTGAATTTATTCCTGGACATGACAAGCAGAGGATGGAGGCGGCCAAGCTCCAAAGCTCACAGCTACTCTAGGTGCCCGGAGTATTTTGTGACTTTCTGTCGGAGAAGTTTGTGTGCTGGAAATCTCGCCGGCCGTGTGGCCCCTCCTGACGCTCGTGTGCCGGCCATACGAGCGGCTCGTCTTCGAGCACTGAGCGGGTCCCGTTCGCCGGCCGTATGGCCTCTCCTGACGCTCGTGTGCCGACCATACGAGCGGCTCGCCTTCGAGCACTGAGCGGGTCCCGTTCGCCGGCCGTATGGCCTCTCCTGACGCTCGTGTGCCGGCCATATGAGCGGCTCGCCTTCGAGCACTGAGCGGGTCCTGTTCGCCGGCCGTATCGGGCGGCCCATGTGTGACCGTCCGCCTCCGTTGCAGGTGATCGACTTCGGGTCGAGCTGCTACGAGCACCAGCGGGTGTACACGTACATCCAGTCGCGCTTCTACCGGGCGCCGGAGGTGATCCTGGGCGCCAAGTACGGTATGCCGATTGACATCTGGTCTCTGGGTTGCATCCTGGCCGAGCTGCTGACCGGCTACCCGCTGCTGCCGGGCGAAGACGAATCCGACCAGCTGGCCTGCATCATCGAGCTGCTCGGCATGCCGCCGCAGAAGCTGCTCGACTCGTCGAAGCGCACCAAGAACTTCTTCAGCAGCAAGGGCTACCCGCGCTACTCGCGCGTGACCACGCTGCCCGACGGCGAGGTGGTACTGGGCGGCGGCCGCTCGCGGCGTGGCAAGACGCGCGGTCCGCCCGGCTCCAACAGCTTCGCTAAGGCGCTCAAGAACTGCAACGACTCGCTGTTCATTGACTTTCTGCGCCGGTGTCTCGAGTGGGACCCGAGCACGCGGATCACGCCGGGCAATGCGCTGCGCCACCCGTGGCTGCGGCGCCGGCTGCCGCGGCCGCCGGCTGATGACTCGGTGGCATCGAGCCCCGTCTCGGGCGGCGGTGGACTGCGCGCCTCCGGCTCCGGCCGCCTCAACACGGGCAGCAGCAGCAAACTGAACACGATCGGCAGCGCCGGCTCAGGCGCCGGCAAGATGCGCGTCTCGGTGGCCGACGATGGCGCCAGCACGATGCAGACGCGCCTGCACACCAAGCTGCCCAGTGTGCCGGTGGAGCGGATGATTCCGTGACGGGCTCGGACCGCGGCCTCGGGCGTTTGATCTCTGGCGGGACGGCGCCGTGCCGGCGTCCCGCCGTGGCTTGTCTCGATGTTACCAGGACAGGTGGCGCCGCCTGCCGGGCCGCGCCAGTGAGTCTGGCGGCGGTCGGCCCGCCGGCCAGCCGGCGCCGCGCCGCGCCTCGGGCCTGGGCCTGGGCTCAGGCCTGGTGCCGCCGGCGGCCAGGCGCCGCCCGATGTGACCGTGTCTGCGCACTGTAAATCCTCGGGCATTGGAGACCAGCTGCTCTTGCGTCTCACGGCTTTGGGATACCACCATCACGTGATATTTGCATCAGCTTCAGTCACAGTATTAGTGATTTGAACGAGTCCGGCTCAATTTCCGTTCAAAACTGCATAGGCAAAAGCAGGCCCGGAACAGTGCGCCTGACGGCTTAGTTTGTTGAGTTGCCTGCATGGCAAGTCTTTCTACCTGCGCAGCTGCAACGCCAGCCTCTGATGCACGATGGAAAGGGGTGAAATCCGCCGGCTCGGGGCCCCTGCCGCTGCGCGGGACCGCGGCCGACCGGCCGCCGAACTCAGCTGATACTTAACGCCGCGCGGATTCGATTCCCTGCGAGTCCGCCGGGCGGGCGACGACACTGGAGTGAACGTGTGTCTGTTGATGCCGATTCTTGTCGGGAACATTGCGACGCAGAGGTGCGCACTGCCCAAATTGTTCCACGCCATCCCTCTCTTGTTCTGTTGTCCCGTGCGTGTCTGGACCGCCGGCTTCTTGCAACGCTACGAAGGCGGGGTCCTTTTATCCGTTAACGGTATTGTCAACTGGTTTCGTCTTTACACAGTCCCCTTGCGTTGTCCTTTTGGACAAATTTTACCCGGCAAACCTCGAATCGTGACGATTTATACTTTGATACCATAGGTAGGTTCTAGCACTGTGACGCTAGTGCATTGCTGATATTATGGTGTGTCTCGCCGTTGGTTGGCATTTTTACTGAAAATCAAACAAAAATGTTGCTCTGTGGATGAGCCGGTGAGACTAAATTTGCAAGTGGTAAAAGACAAGAAATTGGAATGTGGTAAATGCACGCTGTTGTGCTCACTCATGTTGCTCCCATCCCTGCCCTGTTGTACAGAATCCTCGTCAGATGGTAGCACCTGCCGCGCGCTCTAGTGGCAAATCTGGGCAACTTGTGCCTGCCGTTCTTTGTGATAGATGCCGTTGCCTGCGGTACGGTTTTCTACGGTGGAGTTGTCTGAATCTGAACGTATGAGCGCGCTGATATATGAAAATATACGAGTCAGAGTGTATTAGTGACATACAGAGTAAAAACACCTAATTGTGGCGCTAATGCACAGTGCGAGGTTTGTAAGAAGCTGTTCCATTTGGAAACGGACGACACTCCCGGGCAATGCACAGACGGACATCCGCAGAGTACAGCCTGCTTGTCTCACTCACCTCCCCATCATGAGTCCTCGCTAGGCGTCGTCTCGCCGGAGTGGGCTGTGACCACCGGGTGCGAGCCGGCTCAGTGCCGGCCCGGCAGGAGCCCCGCCCCAGCGCCCGCACCGCGTGCCCCCTAAGAGGGTACGTGTTGCGGGATAAGGCTTGCTAGCGGAGGTGCGTACGGGGGCCGCAGCATTGCCTCGCGACTTGCCTCTCTTCTTCATGTCATAGCACACCCCTGAAATGGTCATTGCTGGCCAAAAGGATGGCAATGAATAAATGAACGAAAACCAAATGAATTACGTAAATTCAGTCCATTAGCGAGGAGCATTATTCACATAGATAAGACAGTAGTATTAGCCTTATTCATTGGGGAAGGAACCCAAGGGAATGTAGATATAGTCAGGTTGACATTTCGGCATCATGCCTTTATCGAAACGCAATTCTGCTGTTGTTTCGATAAATGCATGCTGCGGGGGTATCAACCCAACTATGTATCCATTCTCCCGGTTTTTTCCCGAGGAATGGGACTAATGCTACCGTTTATCGATATGAAAACCAAGTGAACAAAATATGAATGTCAAGCACAACAAAAGCGATTAGTTTAAAGTCAACGCCTTCCACCGTCCTCTTCTGCCAAGTGTCCAGCCTTTCTGCGGAGTTTTGTTGCGATGGTGTTCCTCCTGTTGTGACCAGGCTGGGCCAGGGAGTTCGTGTGCCGCGTTCCCGGTGTGGGGCTCGTTCGCACAGCTGGTCGCGGGCCTCCAGCGACGGGTATGCTCAAGCATGGTCAAGGAGAAGCAGGTCTCCGTGTCGAATCGCTCCGTTCCACTTCAGCGGTTGACAGCGCGCCCGCGCGATATTCGTCCGACGGCCGGCCCCGTCCCGCTGAAGTCTCCATCGTGACACTCTCCCCCCGCACGCGCTCCGTCCCGCTGAAGTCTCAATCGTGGCACTCTCCCCCCGCACGCGCTCCGTCCCGCTGAAGTCTCCATCGTGACACTCTCCCCCCGCACGCGCTCCGTCCCGCCGAAGTCTCCATCGTGACACTCCCCCCCCCCGCACGCGCTCCGTCCCGCTGAAGTCTACATCGTGACACTCTCCCCGCGCACGCGCTGCGTCCCGCTGAAGTCTACATCGTGACACTCCCCCCCCCCGCACGCGCTCCGTCCCGCTGAAGTCTACATCGTGACACTCTCCCCCCGCAAGGCGCTGCGTCCCGCCGAAGTCTCCATCGTGACACTCTCCCCCCGCACGCGCTGCGTCCAGCGAGGCAACCGCTGCTGGCGTTCGCATACCCCTCACCGCTGCGCCTCGACCACCCGGCCTCTCGCGCACGCCCAGGTGTCGGTCCGGTAGTGCCACCGCCGACACACATACCTGAGCCCTCCATCACCGACTCAGTCTCGCGCTCCTCTCGTGTCTGCTCCTGACGCTTGCTAATCGGGGGCTGTTGCTGACTGCCCAGCTTCCGACCAGTCTAAGCTTACTCGGCTTTAATGAAGTGATCCAGTTCACTAAACAAAATGTGTTTCGCAAAATCGATATATTGATGTTCGAAACAGGACCAGGCTCAAGCGGATCTGATACAGCTCCAGGCTCGAGCGGATCCGATACAGCTCCAGGCTCGAGCAGATCTCACACAGCTCCAGGCTCGAGCGGGTCCGATACAACCCAAGGCTCGAACGAATCCGATACAGCTCCAGGCTCGAGCGGATCCGATACAGCTCCAGGCTCGAGAGGATCCAATACAGCTCCAGGCTCGAGAGAATCTCATACAGCGCCAGGCTCGTGGATCCGATACAGCTCCAGGTTGGAGAGGATTCGATACAAGTCGAGGTTCGAGAGGATCCGATACCGCAAATGTTAAAATCGAAGCTTCTGCTGACGGATCTCTCGAGGTCAAGGTCACCACTCGTGTTCAGGTCGCGGCTCACTCAAGAACACAGCTTTTTCAGCCAAAACGCCGCTGTCAGACTCCCCATGCCCGGAACACCTGTCAGGGTGCTACCTCTACTCTGGGCTCCTCTTCGCGTATGATTATAAGGTTCTGTCGCAGCTGCGGTCGGATGTATTGTGTCGCGTCCGTCTCCCGATCTGTCGGAGCTCCGGTTGGGGCCAGTGTGTCGTGTCCGTCTCCTGATCTGTCGGAGCTCCGGTTGGGGCGGGCGTGTCGTGTCCGTCTCCTGATTTGTTGGAGCTCCGTTTGGGGCGGGCGTGTCGTGTCCGTCTCCTGATCTGTCGGAGCTCCGGTTGGGGCCAGTGTGTCGTGTCCGTCTCCTGATCTGTTGGAGCTCCGTTTGGGGCGGTCGTGTCGTGTCCGTCTTCTGATGTGTCGGAGCTCCGGTTGGGGCCAGCGTGTCGTGTCCGTCTCCTGATCTGTTGGAGCTCCGGTTGGGGCCAGCGTGTCGTGTCCGTCTCCTGGTTTGCCGGAGCTCCGGTTGGGGCGGTTATGAGATGTCGGTCTCCTGATCTGCTGGAGCTCCGTTTGTGGCGGGCGCGTCGTTCCCTTGCCTGACGTGGTGCAAGAATGCAAACTGGCGTTATGCGAGTATGCTCTTTCTGCCGCCGTCACATGTAGCTGCCTCGCCAGCACTTGTGGCACTGTCTTATCGCCTCCTTGAGAGCTTGCAAAACGTACGGTCTTACCTCCAACAAATGTGCTTTTCCCTCCAGAATGAGTACCCAGACTGCTGTTCGTTCATGCGGTTGGTTTTAGCTGTTTACAACCGGCCCAGTTCGGTAGCGTTTGTAGTAAGCATTGACCCGATTTGTGCCACGCTCTTGACGGGACATCTATTCATAGAGTTTTCCTCTACGCGAGGATTCTCGCTGTCCGACGCATTGAACGGTGATGCCCTCGCACACGGCCCGTAGCCATCTGCTCGGCCACGCCCGCATGCGCGGTGCGTCCACGTCATGCTATTTGTTGATTTAAGACCATCCCGGGTAATGAACACCCCGGCAATGACATCCCAGCAACGGCAGCCGGGTAATGGCATCCCGGGTAATGACACACCGGCAATGACATCCCGGGTAATGGCATCCCGGCAATGGCATCCTGAGTGATTACACCCCGGCAATGGCAACCCGGGTAACGAGCGTTCTGACCAAAAAGCTAAAGTCACTCTAACAGGCTATCACACCGCCGACACTTCCACGGACCACAACAGCACCGAAGGTTGCATCCGCGCGTCCATGCGACAGTTCTGGCAACAAGGATTGACAGACATTGATACTATGACAGCCCGCGCCAATAGAAGGTGACATAGGACTTTGGACTTCCGCGTCGGAAAAATAAGTACAAATAAAAGAACTATGGTGCCTGAGTGAGACACACTAGACCCACTCGCACGTTCATCACTTAAAATGAATGTTCATAAACATTTGAACATATTTCAGTTAACATCAAATATGATGGAATACGCTCACTTATAACTAATGGTATACCTTTAAGTGAAAAGGACTGATCTAGAAACACGATTTTCATATGTAGTAAACATGCTCTTCAACACGTCATTGTTTGATTACGTCATCGTGCCTTGCACAGCACTGATCGAGAGCCAATTGACAGCCGTAATGTCTGGAAATCATGCTCAGGGACGCTGGATATGATCGACTCGACAATCACGCTTTTTCTGGTCTTGATCGCTGCATGGCTAATGGAATGGCAGAATTTTCGTGACGTTATCATGGCGTCATGGATGCCTGGGTAACCTTGAAATAGTTTCCCCAAAATGGTCTACACATCCTCGCGGACGTCTAGCTCAGAAGCAAGAGAGGCTTAGGTAAAGGCAGGGCTGTGAATTGCACCGAATAATCTTCAAATAATCAGAGGCTTAGGCAAGGAGGGCAGGGCTGTGAATTGCACCGAATAATCTTCAAAATGAGTAGTTCAGTTGAAAAGCGCAGATGTGGAATGCTCCCTTTAATTAAAGGCGCGACAACGGTGCCCTCCCTGTCGCCGTACCCTAACGATGCGCGCCACCTTTGTCTATTGCAACAAATGCGCGTACTCCCGAGACACTTGAGAACTGTGGTCGTCGATCTGCCACAGACATTTGTTTCAGGCCATTTTAGGTGATGGTTGTCCGCAAATACTTCATCAGCTTTTTGAGTTCCTGAGCCACGTAAGTCTTTTTTACCCTCCTTTGCTCCTTTTATAGATGTAGGAACTTCTCAGAAAATGTGGGGGGATGGAGTCAAGGCCAACTTGGAGGTCAGTTCTGCATGCATGCATGCAGATTTGATGCCTCTGCATGCATCGCCACAGGATTAATATTAAGCAATCTCAAGAAGAGGGTTACATACCCCCCTCTCCCCGTTGCTCCTATGCGCATGCTCCTCTCTCCCTGATGTTTTTCTGACCTTGATTGCCTCGCGTACCAAGGAAAACTCACTAATGACAACGCGCAAGCGTCCGTCCGGTGCGAGACGCTTACATTCAACAAAGTCAAGAGAAAATAACGCATCATCTCTGCGCTCCCCTCCTTGCCCCGTCTTAAATACTCTTATCGGGGTATGCCGCGGCCATCGGCCATGACCCAGCTTCACGGGCGCCCTGGCGCTGGCCGGAACCCTAGCCGAGTGCCTGCGCAGGCTAAAAACAGGGCCCCTTATGCGAATTAAGGCTCGTTGGCGCAAACGTCCGATGACGGCTCCAGTGTTGGCCACTACCCACCTTCCCCTTTCATATCTTGTCCTGCAGTAAACAAATGGAGCAGCCCAAATCTCGCCTCCGGGTGTGGGAGACCTCTGCCGCAGCGGGTGCGGGGGCCTCTGCCACAGCGGGTGTGGGAGGCCTCTGCCGCAGTGGGTGTGGGAGGCCTCTGCCAGAGCGGGTGTGGGGGCCTCTGCCAGAGCGGGTGCGGGAGCCTCTGCCGCAGCGGGTGTGGGAGGCCTCTGCCGGAGCGTGTGTGCGGGGTCTCTGCCGGAGCGGGTGCGGGGCCTCTGCCGCGGCGGGTGTGGGAGGCCTCTACCGCAGCGCCGCGCCTCGCCGTCAGAACTGGTCGCCATCCTAACGGCGTGAGCCCAAGGGCCATCTGGCGAAGCGTTGGCCAGTTGTTGCGCTGCCGAACGCCCAATTAATCCAGGGCGGTGTCCGAAACAGCGGTTCGAGTTCAGCTGCAAACCAAGGGCTGGGGCAGCCAGCAGCGCTGGCGAGGGGGGCAAAGGAGGCACATCCCTCACCTTAGGTTCTAAGAGGCCCAAAGGGACCATCAGAACCTACAATTAAGGGTCTGATAGGCCAGCTGGACGTCGCATTCAGAGTTCCAATTTCCATAAAACCGAACGGCGTGGGCCCTCGCAAGTAACACCAGGCGGCGGGAGCCGTGCGCGAGAGAACGATCGTCATGAAATCATGTTTTCCAATGTCTTTAAAAGATACGTCGTGATGTCCAAAGATTAGGCTTAGCGTAAGCATATCTTTAGCAACTTCGAGTTTGTCCTCTGGATAGATGAACAGTTGCAGCAACACGAGGTACTGAGATTCTGTCTGCTTTTCCAGACCAATTTCCAGGCCAACCCGTTCTTATCATAAATTTAAAAGTCGCACGAGTGAAATATATGCCCAGGCTACCTTTTTGATGCATGATTTGGTGTTCTGCGCCTGGAGTCAGTTTTTTTTTTTGTTGCTAAGATTTAGGAGCGCGCATGTTCAAACCTGCATAGCACAATTTTTATGACTAATCGATTTTGACTGTATGTTAAACATTTTCAGGCAAACATGGCCAAGCCATGTTAATGCAAATTGCTGAAAATTTTTATCTACAATAGAAATATGCAAAAAGGGTCCTAACTATCCGTGAAGTGCCCAGATCAAAACTCCGACAAAACTTCCGAATAATTAGTTTAAAAAGAGTCCGGTGGACCATCGTAAAATGAGAGGCTCCAGCGGTTTCGGCCAGCGCTCGGTGATGCGCATAACCTGAAACCCGACCAGCGCTCGGTGATGCGCATAAGCTGAAGCTCGACCAGCGCTCGGTGATGCGCATAATTTGAAGCCTGACCAGCGCTCGGTGAGGCGCATAAGCTGAGGTCCGACCGGCGCTCGGTGATGCGCATAAGCTGAAGCTCGACCAGCGCTCGGTGAGGCGCATAATTTGAAGCCCGACCAGCACTCGGTGAGGCGCATAAGCTGAGGTCCGACCGGCGCTCGGTGATGTGCGTAATTTGAAGCCCGACCAGCGCTCGGTGAGGCGCATAATTTGAAGCTCGACCAGCGCTCGGTGATGCGCATAAGCTGAACGCTTACTGATGGGCTTGTTTTGCATTATATATAACCTTAGACCCATTGTTCCGATAAACACTCATTTTCGGGAAATTCCGTCAATCTTAGCGCAACAGCGACATTAACATGCAGGCGCTTGTTAACTAACGTGCCTTCTCAATGTGCTTCGTGGTATCCTTTCATACTTATCGCCATCCGTCCGGGACTTCTCGGGCCAGGAGCCTTGAGTTCTGCCTCATGGCAACGTGTTCTGCACGGCATCGGAGACCCGTGTCCTTGAGTTCTGCCTCATGGCAACGTGTTCTGCACGGCATCGGAGACCCGTGTCCTTGAGTTCTGCCTCATGGCAACGTGTTCTGCACGGCATCGGAGACCCGTGTCCTTGAGTTCTGCCTCATGGCAACGTGTTCTGCACGGCATCGGAGACCCATGTCCTTGAGTTCTGCCTCATGGCAACGTGTTCTGCACGGCATCGGAGACCCGTGTCCTTGAGTTCTGCCTCATGGCAACGTGTTCTGCACGGCATCGGAGACCCGTGTCCGTGGTAAGCGTCGCAGCGCCGATGAGACAAATTGCTTGTGAAGTACAATCCAGCGTCTTGTCATTCGTCGTCCCGGATGTGCCTGGGTATAACACGAATGCAATTTAAATTGTGTGTTTAAGTGTAATTCATATATACAGCGTTCAACAGACACCTTTACTGAAATCAGAGTCCATAGAAAACGCTTCGAACAGATATTTCTAAGCCTGTGGTACGCCTGTTTTTTCTCCGTAAGGTCTAACCAAACCTTATGAGCTCTGGAGAAATGAATTCCGTGACTGAAGACCGACCGCGCATGTCGCACAACAATATCCCTGAAGGCTGGGAATCGGCTGGGCACGTATAAGAAAAGGCTAGGCACTCAATTTCTAATAAGCCTTCCGAGCCGGTGAAGCAGACTTGGGAGGCAGTCAGTGGGCATCCCATCGCATCATATCAATGATCTGTCTCCCTGAATGGCCGCGCCTGAACGAGGCACTAATCCTTAGCATTGCTCCGCATCAGTACTCAAAATTAGGCACAAAACAAACGACGGTCAGTTCTCTGACTGCGTACTGTGCTATCCATATCATCCCCGCAGCGTAGACAACCACGGCTGACGTGGACAGTGTATATTATCTCACAAAGGTCTTTGGTATTTGCGGACGACCGGCGGATAACAGCTTCAGCACTGCATACTGGCAGCGCCGTAACGTAGTATCCCGCGCGCAATGGAACGTGCCAGGCCATTCAGGGTACGGCCCGTCCCATCTTCATACACAGACACACACAAGTTTAAACAGAACAGGACATAGAGACACTACACCACGATCACCAAGCCAGATCGCCTCTGACAGAATTGCACAGAGCAATCCAAGGACACGGAATGACGTTAACAGTAGCTTGCTCTCTGACGAGGCTCTGACTTCTTTCTTGAGGTGAACAGCGCAGCGCAAGGAGAGGCAATCAGCCCTGCACGGAGCCCCATCTGCGCGTCACGTCCGTCGCAGGCAGTCCCGTGCCCCGGCCTCCTCCGCCCCGCAGCCGGCATCATTCCGCGCACCACCGCTCTCAGGTGCACACTAGGGCTTCAGCTTCTCCTTGGGGATCAGATAGCCGTCCATGTCCTCGTCGCGGAATAGCACTGACCTGACCTCCTCGTATACGTTGTTCTCGGGGTCGACGCCGGAGTCGACCTTGACGGGCGGTGGCGGGATCTCGTATGAGGAGCGGGGCACCTGGTACGCCTCCTTGGAGCTGGGCACGGCGTAAAGGTGTCCCTTGCGCGGCGTGTCGTACACGTGCGCGTACTTGTGCTCGTCCTCGCCGGTCGGCGCCTTGCCCTTCATGGAATAATCGTTGGGAGGGGCGCGTCCCACGAGACCCAGCTCCTGGAGACCCTTGGCCGACGGTGGCGCCACCACGGTAACGCTGTTCAGACGATTCTCTTCCTTCGCCTTCCGCTCTGCGGCGCTGGCGGCGGCAGCCATCTGTAGGTTTTTGATGCCGTACAGCGGATTATCCACCATCTTGGCGTGGTGCAGTTTGGATCGTCGACGCCGGTAGATGACGGCGCCAACGACGGCGGCAGCGAAGGTCACGAGCACCAAGACCAGGATGGCGGCCATGGTCGTGCTTACGGAGGCCAGTGCCGAGCCTGGCGACGGCAGGAAACTCGGCGTCATTTTGGTGCACTGGCTTCTGATCCACAAAACATCCTAAAAGAAACACGTAGCATCGAATTGCATGTTGCAGCCCGTGACTTACTGGAATACACATATGACAATCATAACAATGCAGCAATTAGTGCATGATTAAAACACCACTTTTCAGCATCAAATTATTTCAGCACAGCAGGACAACCTGCCAATAGTGTTCTGGTCGGCGCCTTGTAACACTACACCAGATTTATGTAAGTTGCAGCCGCCGTCAGCCAGCGGACCCGACGCCGCCTCCCAGCGCAGTCGCGGTCTACTGGCCGGGCCACGCCACCTGACCAAGACTCTAACCTGTGCGGGCCTGCGCGGCCGCCAGCTCCAGGTGCGCCGGGCTCGTCCACACCGTGTCGCCGTCCACCTGGAAGAAGCAGCTCCACTGACCGGCGAAGCGCGGCTCCATGGCGCCCAGCCGGAGCGAGCAGTCGCCGGCGGCCAGGTCGCCGCGGAAGGAGAGCGGCACGTCGTCCAGCAGCGACATGGTGGTGCGGCTTAACGTGATCACCACGTCGTCGGGCATGGCCCAGCCGCAGGCCGACACCTGCCGGACGGCGGCGGCGTCACGGCGCGGCGGCGGCACATGAGGCGGCGCCAGGGTCACAGGGCGGCACAGCGGTGGCACAGAGGGATGTGACAGGGTCACAGGTCACAGCGTCATGCAGCAGTATCGTAGTGATGCTCAGCACGGTACAGCGTGGTGCAATAGGGTCGCAGTACAACACGGCGAGGCTCAGACTGTAACAGTGCCGGCAGGGTGATACGGCAGGATCATACTCTGATACGGAGCGCCACCGCGTGCCGCCACGGAGCCAAAGCCCGGTAAATTGGTATCCGTTTGGTCATACGACGGAGGGGCATTTCAGAAAGAAGGGATGCGATTATAAATTTAGAATTCGATTCTTTCCATGAGTTGCCGTAGGATTAATGCTCAGCGTTCTCCACAAGTAAAGGTGACACGTCACCCAGAGAGCCCCGAACGTACGCCTACGTATTTGATGCGGGCAAATATGGCAGGGCGAGGTTCCAACTGCTCAAAGCCACTCCCTCTCTACCGCCATACTTCTGTTAACAAAGCCAGAGCGGATCAAGGCAACCATCGATGACGCGAAGTGAAAAAATAAACAGTTACAGTTAAGTGCAAACACAGCAGCCACTATGACATCAGTCACACGAATGGACCGAATAAAGCCGCAGATTTCGTGTCAACCCATTCGAGACTGTCACTCGGGTGCATTCTATGCATAATCGAGCATGCTTCTACTACTAAAGCGGTCTTTTTTTTCCCGCCAAAAGATTCCACCCATGTGATCAAGAGCACCCAAGCTTGATAAGCCTCAGATAGGGCGCTGTCGCCGCAGGAGCGGCGGAGCACAAACCTCTGAGCTGATGCGGCAGCTGAGGTCCACCGGCTGGCCGGCCAACGCGCTGGTGTTGACCGGGTGGGTCGCGATGGCCGGGTGGCGCGGCCGCGGCTCCAGCGTCGCTATGGCAACCGTGGCGGGCCGAGAGACCAGCTCGTCCTGCAGCAGCGAGATGTGCACACTGCACACCCAGCGGCCGACGTGTACCTGGCGCACCTGGAGAGCGGGCGACCGAGTTACACGACGCGCTGGTCTGGGTCACGTACCACAACGCCCGACCACGCGGCGGGGACCATGGCTGCTACCTAGCCGAGTCAGGTGTCGGGACTAGCTCGAGGCCTGGCTATGTCGGTACGTCTCTGCATCTTCACAGCACCAGTGGGTGTAACTGACAAAGCACTGGGCAGCGGATGGTGTCGCGCACATGGCGAACAACGACCCGGCAAACCAATCTCGGTCATGTCTCAAGCATGATGTCATCATGACCGGCGTTCCCGTTAGGCAAATGCTTCAGGCGCGCACGAGCGGCCAGCCCTTTCGCTCCCACCGCTCTCAGCCACCAGCTCTATCCCTCGCACTGCTCTCAACCACCAGCCTGTCGCTCGCACCGTCCTCAGCCACCAGCTCTATCCCTCGCATTGCTCTCAACCACTAGCCTGTCGCTCGTACCGCTCTCAGCCACCAGCCCTGTCATTCACACCGCTCTCAACCACCAGCCCTGTCGTTCACACCGCTCTCAACCACCAGCCCTGTCGCGCACACCGCTCTCAACCACTAGCCCTGTCGCTCACACCGCTCTCACTGAACCACCAGCCCTGTCGCTCACACCGCTCTCAGCCACCAGTCCTGTCACTCACACCGCTGTCAGCCACCAGCCCTGTCGCTCACACCGCCCTCAGCCACCAGCCCTGTCGCTCGCACCACTCTCAGCCACCAGGCGGGACGGGCAGACTGAACTCGCTGACCTGTTTGATCCGAATGCTGCAGTCGCCATCACGCTTCGGGTAGAACTCCTTCACCTTGACCAGCTCGTACGGATTGTCAGTACGGTTCAGGAGCCATCTGCCGAGAGAGTTGCAGGTGAGACCCCCACTATTTGCTTGCGATGATTCCCTAACACAATTGAAACGGTGGTGCAACTTACTTTCAAATGCGGAGCTGTTCCATGCGAGGTTTTTTAATGGTGAAGGCTTTTCATATAAATAACAAAAAAGTATTTATTCATACCGAATAAAGTGTGTAGGGTATGCATCAGTAGATGCGATATGCAAACGAAACAGTCAGGATGAACCATCAAGAACGTACCCTGAGTGTCAGATATCAAACCGATGACTCAGATATCAAAACCGTGCGTAGTACTGTGATTCTTATAACCGTGGCCGCGTGGCGAGCCAGCAGGGCTCACACACCGGCGTTGCAGGGCCTTGGGTACTCACACACCGGCGCGGCGTGGCTTCGGGTACTTACTTGCACCTGGTGGCCTCGCCGTCGGTTTTGCATTTGAGCACGGCCTCGTCGCCCTCAGTGACCAGCACGTCAGCGGGCTGCTCGATGATGGCCGTCTCGGCAGCGGCGGCCGCCAGGCCTGCGGACAGAACACGCGGCCGATCAGTCCCGGCTGGCCTCTGTGGTGGCCGGCACTGAATACAGACACGCGGCCGGTCAGTCCCGGCTGGCTTCTGTGACGATCGGGACTGAATACAGACAAGCGGCCGATCAATCCCGGCTGGTTTCTGTGGTGGGCGGCACTGAATACAGACACGCGGCCGGTCAGTCCCACCCAGCTGGCCTCTGTGGTGGGCGGCACTGAATACAGACACGCGGCCGGTCAGTCCCACCCAGCTGGCCTCTGTGGTGGCCGGCACTGAATACAGACACGCGGCCGGTCAGTCCCACCCAGCTGACCTCTGTGGTGGCCGACACTGAATACAGACACGCGGCCGGTCAGTCCCACCCAGCTGGCCTCTGTGGTGGCCGGCACTGAATACAGACACGCGGCCGGTCAGTCCCACCCAGCTGGCCTCTGTGGTGGGCGGCACTGAATACAGACACGCGGCCGGTCAGTCCCGGCTGGCTTCTGTGGTGGCCGGCACTGAATACAGACACGCGGCCGGTCAGTCCCGGCTGGCTTCTGTGGTGGCCGGCACCGAATACACACACGCGGCCGGTCAGTCCCGGCTGGCTTCTGTGGTGGCCGGCACTGAATACAGGCACGGGGCCGGTCAGTCCCACCCAGCTGGCCTCTGTGGTGGGCGGCACTGAATACAGGCACGCGGCCGGTCAGTCCCACCCAGCTGGCCTCTGTGGTGGCCGGGACTGAATACAGACACGCGGCCGGTCAGTCCCACCCAGCTGACCTCTGTGGTGGCCGGGACTGAATACAGACACGCGGCCGGTCAGTCCCACCCAGCTGGCCTCTGTGGTGGCCGGGACTGAATACAGACACGCCCTGGTACTCAGTGCTCTCTCGGAATGGAATGTGGCGCAGGCCGCGTTCTGTGCGTTTTAAGCGTTCCGCCCACGCTCCGCCGTAAAAGCGCCTCGGTATTCGGGGGCAGCTGATTCCCTCTCAGCTGAGACGTCGTGTCGATCGTCCCAGCCTCCCCCCCCCCCCCCCGGCACAGCTGGGGTGCTGCAGACATGCTCCAACTGGCAGCGGGTAGATCATAATGAACTCCTAATACGTTTATCCTGCTTACTCTCTCCTGAAGTACATTCACATCTGAAGCGTTAAGTTCAGGAAGCTGTAGTTTATTAACTTTTCTTGAAAGTTATGATCGTATTGTGTAGCGCAAAAAGAGAGAATCGGCGCAACCGAGCCGTCACATGAGCCTTGGCACAATGGCTTTATGTGCCACGTTAGCCCACTCGCAGCGTCACATACCCAGTAGAAACCAATTTCACGGCTGTCCGTTGATAGTCAGCCGCAGCAATTGTAAAAACGTCAGTCCATTTCTGCTGACCGCGCCGCGGAACAGGGCGGCGGTGACGACCGCCGGGGCGACGCGGCCGGCACCGGACCGGGTACCGGACGGCGCCGCGGCCGGCACCGGACCGGGCACCGGACGGCGCCGCGGCCGCGCCGGCCCACCTGGCGCACCGCGAGGCCGGTACCTTCACCGCCAGCGGTTCTGGCGCAGCGGTTCAGAGGGGGGGGGGGGGGGGGAGGGCGGCAGGTCGAGACCACCACATACCGTTAGCAGGCTGTATGTCGTGCCCGTCCTGAAGCTGACATTTGTGGTGCATCTGGAAGGCCGTGCGAGCGAATGCTGGCCTTTTACATGAACTGCGGTGCAGTTCATGTTGTACATGTCAGGTTCGAATTATATGACGTAGATTACGGCTACTTGTATTTTTGTGATGAGGACAGGTTACAAAAGCGCAAACACTACTGCACTGGGAGCTTAGGGAGATCATTTCGTGAATACGTTTGCACGTCCTTTCGCCACCCATTGAGAACTGGAAAACGGCCTACTCATCGTGTCCAAATCCGGTCCAACAATGAGTCCATCAGTATAGGAAGAGGCAAAGAATGTGAGCCTCGGCATCGTCGATCAGTTCCCTCGGCAGTAAGAAACTGATTGTCCAGATAATTTCTCATTGCGGAAGACAGGAGCGTGATGGAGGACGACAGAGCGGTGTCGGCGGGTGAGGTGCATTCTACCTCACTTGAATCAGTGATGAAAATTTGCTTTACCAACTGCAAAGTTTCATTGCACACAACTACCGCGTAGGCAGAACGGTTTAGACATTTCCACGGTCGTCGCGGCTATTACTTGAAGATAGCCCAATTCAGTGAACATCTGCTAGATGTAACATTTCCCCGGTGGTCAAGCTGCTCAGCGCGATAATTTTCACATGAGCATATGTACTGTTGACACAGGAGTGTCATGGTGAGGTGGGTTCACGTGGCCACGTGACACGGTCGCGTGCATGCTGTCTACTCGCGGACTTCCGACGCCCCGACAGCCGTCATCTCCAGGGCCCGCGCGGCGGCCGCACGGCTGCGGCGCGCCCGTGTGCGCGTGACTCAGGCGTCCGCAGCCGACCGAGGCGCACCCGCTATTGATTGTGGCCGGGATGTGCGCCGGCCCCCGGCCCGCTGGTGGCGGCTGAGTCAGTGGCCAGCCCGCCACCGCGGTCGGGAGGCGTGTTTTGCGCCGCGTGCCGGGCCGCGCCGGGTCCCGTGCTCCTGCAGCTGGCGGCTCGGTTGTTTCCTGTCGGCCTTCCGTGCTGATGCCACTCGGCCGGAGGACAGTGGCTGGCGCGGCGCGGAGCGCGCCAGGCACCGGCTGGGCCTATCGCCGCCGCCTGACCGCCGCCGCCTGACCGGGGCCCCACCCCACAACCCTGAACGCCCCGCAGATCAGCGCGTCCGCCCAGCGCGACATTCACAGCAGACATCGAGATCACGTACTGGATTGTGATAAATGTTCGCCGGCGTTTAAGATCCTTGAAACTTCACGGCTCACCAGTTTGTGGTCAGCGGCACTCTCCCATGTCCAGCTATTCTGAGGCTCCACTCCAACTGGGTCTTATATTTTGCGAGCACAAACCAATGACGACAGTGAACGTCCAGCCAAACGCATGGCGAATGCCACAAGTCAGCGATCGCTGTCGGAAAATCAGAAAAAAGTATTACCACTTACATTGAAGGCGCCAATGGTTGCGCAACAACGGTTCTGTTGCCCAACCTAGCCAGGCAAGTGCTCTTATTGGGTTGCCCCGGGACAACGAAAGCTCCCGGACCCATACCGGCCGCTGGAGGCGCCATGGTCCGCAGCTCACCGCGCCGGCCTCACACGCCACTGCTGTGAAGGCCGGCCAACCGCATGAGGGCGCGGTCCCAGCACACCTTTGCGGCCAGGCGTGTGGCGCTCAGCCCCGACCGGCACGGCCCTGAGCGGCCGGCTCCTGGAGGGAAGGAGGTCGGCGGCGCGGCTCCTGGGGGACGGAGGTTGGCGGCGCGGCTCCTGGGGGGACGGAGGTCGGCGGCGCGGCTCCTGGGGGGACGGAGGTCGACGGGCGCCCAGACCGCGCACGCACGACGGGTCGAGGCTGACGCACGGGCACGCGGCCACGTATTACTAGATGCAGTGGATCCGCTCTGATGTGGGGTAAGCAAGTTTGCCCCAGCGGACCGCAAATGATGTCTCTTTAACCGACCTGACGGACGCGGGAAAAGAGAGTCCAATCGATGCGGACGTGACAGGTTCGTCCAGCTGTTATGAAGGTTGCAGGTGTAGGCAGTTGACCGAGGTAACAGGCTTGTCACACCGTTACGAGCGTGTGACGACCAGAAGAAGTGCCTGTCTGTCCGTCACGGTGTACCGTGTCTGTATGTCACGGCGTGCCGTGGCTGTATGTCACGACGTACTGCGACTGACGTACAGCCACGGCGTACCGTGGCTGTATGTAATGTATGTATGTATGTATGTATGTCACGGCGTGCAGTGGTTGTATGTCACGGCGTGCCGTGGCTGTATGTCACGGCGTACCGTGGCTGTATGTAGTGTATGTACGCAATGTATGTCACGGCGTACCGTGGCCGTATGTAATGTATGTACGTAATGTATGTCACCGCGTGCCATGGCTGTGTGTCACGGCGTACTGCGGCTGTATGTCACGGCGTGCCGTGGCTGTATGTCACGGCGTGCCGTGGCTGTAAGTCACGGCGTGCCGGGGCAGTATGTCACGGCGTACTGCGGCCGTACGTCACGGCGTGCCGTGGCTGTATGTCACGGCGTGCCGTGGCTGTATGTCACGGCGTGTCGTGGCTGTGTGTCACGGCGTACCGCGGCTGTATGTCACAGTGTGCCGTGGCTGTATGTTACGGCGTGCCGTGGCTGTATGTCACGGCGTACCGTGGCTGTATGTCACGGCGTACCGTGGCGGTATGTTACGGCGTACCGCGGCCGTATGTCACGGCGTACCGCGGCTGTATGTCACGGCGTACCGTGGCGGTCCGGTCGTTACGACTATGGCACGTCTGAGTGGGTGTTATGGACGTGGAATGTTCTGGACGTGGGAGGCGCGAGAGATCGCTTTGGGCGCGGGAGATCTGTCCAGGCGTTTCGAACGTAGAAGGTTCTTTCAATCGTTGCAGAAATGGGAGGCCTCTTCGCTGGCTGCGTCACGGCCCGTATGGCGATTACGGAGTGAGAGGCCTGCCCTGCCATTACAGACGTGCGGGGTTTGTCAGGCCGCCACGGACGTGGGACCCTTTCAGTCCAGTCGTGTACGTGGGAGGTCCGTATGTTGGCTACGGACGTTAGAGGTGTGTGTGGCCGGGTGGCGTCCCGCCCAACAGACGGCAGGGCGGATGCCGCGAGCATGCCTCGCACTCCACCTGGCGAACCGACTGACCTTCACGGCCCGACAGAGAGCAAAGGTGATTTGGCGCATAAAAACGCTCGAGCAGGATCTTGATTTTACACTTCAGAGCAGCAAGCTTTCCGGTGTGGCGAGGTGGGCTTAATCGTCAGAGCCTTCAACCTTCCGGCAGGTTTCGGTTCCGCGGAGAATTTCTACGATCCAAGGTCCACACGATCAAGTTCACAAGCTAAGCTCTATAAAGGCCTGTCTATTCCCGCGTGCCAGTGTTCGCTAATTTATGTACTTCAAATTTCTGCCTTGGTCGCCGATAATCAAGGAATGCTCCCACGCTTCAAAACACCTTGATACCAGTCTGGGCTCGTCAAAACACCTTTCACCCCAGTGATGTCAGTATGGGCTCTTCAAAACACCTTCGACCCCAGTGATGTCTGTCTGGGCTCTTCAAAACACCTTTAACCTCAGTGATGCCGGTCTGGGCGCTCCAAAACACCTTCAATCCCCAGTGATGCCGGTCTGGGCGCTCCAAAACACCTTTCACCCCAGTGATGTCAGTCTGGGCGCTCCAAAACACCTTTAACCCCAGTGATGTCAGTCTGGGCGCTCCAAAACACCTTTAACCCCAGTGATGCCGGTCTGGGCGCTCCAAAACACCTTTAACCCCAGTGATGCCAGTCTGGGCGCTCTAAAACACCTTTAACCCCAGTGATGCCGGTCTGGGCGCTCCAAAACACCTTTAACCCCAGTGATGTCAGTCTAGGCGCTTCAAAACACCTTTAACCCCAGTGGAATCAGTCTGGGCGCTTCAAAACTTAAAAAGGTGCCTTTTGTCAGAGCCGTGTAGCAAAAGTTGAAAATTTTTGTGCTGTCTTGTTCTTTTCGAACTTCCTTCCCTGTACACGCATCAAATGATTCACCTGCAGTATAAAGAATGCCGTATAAAACCCCAACTCTTGGGATTTATGGGAAAATTGTCGCCTTTATGTATTAATGGAAGTCAAAAGCGGCAGGGATATTTATATCGAGCGGTGGGATATATATGCATAAATATATTTATTTATTTATCATTTATCACCATTTTGCATCATCACACCATGATGGGCGCGTTCATAATGAGCGAAAAATGATATGCTACCGAGTAGGGCGGATCCGGGAGAGTGAAGACAGTTCCTGTCTAATTGCTTTGCTAGGACGTTATTGGTCAAGTGGGTACTTCATACACAAAGGTCGCGTCTTATAGATAAGCTCCCTATAATCACGAACACAGCTGCAGGCCACGTGCGTTTTACCTGAACAATAAGTCAATTGTCAACTGGAACGACCCTGCCCGGTCGGACTGTTCAGCCTTCTGGAAGTTAATTGACGCAGCCTGCAGTCATTGGTCGTTGTGCCGTATTGTTCTCAGCAGCACGAAGTGCAATTGTTAACAATTGTGTTACATACATTCCAAGATATTTACACACTTGCTGCTTAACCAGGCGTAATTTCCCCGCAGCATTGCAATTGAAGCGAAGTATAACCCTCCCCATTCAAATCACATGAAAAGGGAAACGCAAGTTTTGTAATCGTGAAAAACGTCACAATGCGTATCAAAACCAGACTGAGATGGCAGCGTTCCACCGTCACATAATCATGTAAACATCACATTGTGATGGGGCGAGAGAATGGGCAACCATGCTGACAAGTATGCGGGTCCATGATGAGCGGCTGGTTCGCCGGCCGGCCGCTCTCAACGGACCCTGAGCAGCTGATCACGCCGGCCGGCCGCTCTCAACGGACCCTGAGCAGCTGGTTACGCCGGCCGGCCGCCCTCAACGGACCCTGAGCAGCTGATCACGCCGGCCGGCCGCTCTCAACGGACCCTGAGCAGCTGGTTACGCCGGCCGGCCGCTCTCAACGGACCCTGAGCAGCTGATCACGCCGGCCGGCCGCTCTCAACGGACCCTGAGCAGCTGATCACGCCGGCCGGCCGCTCTCAACGGACCCTGAGCAGCTGATCACGCCGGCCGGCCGCTCTCAACGGACCCTGAGCAGCTGATCACGCCGGCCGGCCGCTCTCAACGGACCCTGAGCAGCTGATCACGCCGGCCGGCCGCTCTCAACGGACCCTGAGCAGCTGATCACGCCGGCCGGCCGCCCTCAACGGACCCTGAGCGGCTAGTCACGCCAGCCGGCCGCTCTCAACGGACCCTGAGCGGCTAGTCACGCCAGCCGGCCGCTCTCAACGGACCCTGAGCAGCTGGTTACGCCGGCCGGCCGCTCTCAACGGACCCTGAGCGGCTAGTCACGCCAGCCGGCCGCTCTCAACGGACCCGGCCGCCCTGGGCCGCTTGGAAGCAGTCATGTCAAATGCCGGCAACTAGACCACATGCAACCGCAGAACTATCCCAACGGGCAGGCGACTTTACCATATCACTGCGTAGCACTGCCCACTACGCGCTCTCAACAGTGCCCGACCCATGGGTGCGCCAGCGGTCGGCTGGGAGGCAGCCCATGTGACCTGTTCCAACACAGTCACGAACGCAGCACGCAGCGGCCAAAACCAGGAGCCGCGCAAGCTACACAGGTGTGAAGCCCAGTTCACTGTGAACAAGTCACGGCTACCAAACACTACACACTCGTCAATCTCGGCGACTGGGATGTTCAGGCCTTGCCAGATCCATAGTCAATAGATCTGTGCCGATGATGCCAGGCCCACAGTTAGCCGGCGTTAGAGCAGTGGTACTCGCGGAGCAGTGCAAGAATGTTACAGCAGTGAAGCCCTGCCTACTTAAGTTCCCCAAGTCGGACTTTCCAATACACTGATAAGATCCGTTTGTGTCGTATCCGTATGTATCGTTTGTATGGTCCCCCAAGGTGACGGCCCGATTATTTGTTGCCACACACACACACACACACACACACACACCACACACCACACCACACACACACCAACACACACACCACACACACACACACACCCACACACACACACACACACACACACACACACACACCACACACACACACACACACACACACACACACACACACACACACACACCACACACACCACCACACACACACACACACACACACACACACACACACACACACACACACACACACACACACACACACACACACACACACACACACACCACACCACACACACACACACACGCATACACGCACACGCACGCACAGCACGCACGCACGCATACACGCACGCACGCACGCACGCACGCACGCACGCACGCGCACAACACACACACAGGTATAGGGGCTGTTTTTGGTAAATATTGCGCCGCTGTCATCTGGCTCCCCTACACCGGCACCTTACCGCCCTGGTGCATCACCCCCACACCGGCACCTTACCGCCCTGGTGCACCACACTTGCAGCAACGTGGTATGTTCTTAGCATGAGCTCTAGGCTCAGCGATCTAAAATGTTTTGTTTTGCATGCTCATCGTGGTACTGTACACTGAGCATAAAATATCGACTCATAGGTAACGCAATACGCATTTAGATAACTCATTTCGAGAAAAGCAGGGCCTCCGTGTCTCTCAAACTTAACCAAATAGGATATACCAGACAAACATCATCCATGCCGTGACCCCAGTTTTGAGCACCTAAAAAGATAGCTCGTGCTTTGCCTCAGGTTATCTTGTAAATGACGACGTGGGCTAACGAACGAGCATCACGTGCAGAAACAGCCCAATACTGGGCAAGCTCGGTAAGTAGTGCAGCAGACGAATATAACCAAAAGCGAGAAATACAGCGTCTTCGTGCTGCTTCCAGCTGCGTCTTACACAAGGCCAGAAGCAGGAGGGTGGCGTTGGCGCGCGTCATCTTCCCGGTCGGCGATGGAGCACTGTGTGGGCCAGCCGCTGTCTGCAGCCTCGCCGCCTCTCCGCGCTCGCGAGCGTGTCCAGCTGCACGCACGATAGTCGCCGTCACCCGCCGCCTCCGTGGGTTACAGCAGCGCGACTGCCGTCGGGGGCGGCACGCCACCCGCGCCGCGACCCGGCCCGCTGACGTCACCTGTCGCTGACTCAGCGTCGGTGACGTCACACGCATGGTTTTCGGGAGGAGAAAGCTGGGCCGCCCGTGCGCCGGTCCGAGAACTGGGGCCGAGAGCTGAACGCCTTTGGCGGCCGCCGGTGCCGCCGGTGGGCGGTGCTCGGCCCACACTATCGGCCGCAGACGGGCCACGCCGAACACGCACCGAAGGCGGGCACAGTCACGCACGCACGCGCTTACGCGTTATCTGCCGGTAACACGCACAACGAAAACTTACTATCGACCGGTATATACACACCTCATCGAAGCCATACAAGTGGGCGCGAGCGGGACTGCAGTTTGTGGGAGGGGAATGGTGATTTGGAAGATGGGACGCTGATGCCAAACGCCATGGATACCTTTTGAGTGGGATTAGAGGCTGTCTCGGCAAATGAAACAACACGCCATCCGTGCGGCTCATTGACTGAAGGGAATAATTGGGGTACAGCACTGTTCCACATTTGTATGTGGCTTAAACTGAGATAGCCATTTTCAAACGCATTTCCCGCAATTTACAGTTATGTCCTTTTTAGAACGTCAAACCCTCTCCTGAAAACCTTCTGAGCTAAGCACACGCAATTTTATGTAGACTATTTCGCGCTAACCAATAGATGTGTGACGTCATAGAAACACCATACAAATTCCGGCCCCTCAATGGCCATATTGTGGCCAGGGCCAATAAACATATGACTTTCACCCTCATGAGGCACGACCTTTCCGTGCTGGGGGATTGCGAGCTCCAGTGATCCTGCGGACAGTTGGGAAAGATTGTAAAACGTCCCTTCCTGCGAAAGGGGAGGCGACGGACTGAATGCGCCCCCCGCAAGGGCGCTATCTTCGGTCAGGGTGGGGATAAGGGGCCCTCGGTCAGGGTGGGGATAAGGGGCCCTCGGATAAGGTGGGGATAAGGGGCCCTCGGATAAGGTGGGGATAAGGGGCCCTCGGATAAGGTGGGGATAAGGGGCCCTCGGATAAGGTGGGGATAAGGGGCCCTCGGATAAGGTGGGGATAAGGGGCCCTCGGATAAGGTGGGGATAAGGGGCCCTCGGATAAGGTGGGGATAAGGGGCCCTCGTCCCCAGCCCTCAGTCTTATCAGGATTGCCGTGTTCCGCTGTACCCCAAATGAGCGATGAAGGCGGCCTGAGTGCTGAGCTGGCCGCCTTGCGGGCCGTTCTTGGCGACCACCAACACTTACCTTTGGTCTGGATTTGCGGACTGTGGGTGCCCCGTGCCGATGGACAACCGTAGATGGCTGAAGGTCGGGAGCTCGTTGCACATTTTGGCCTGTTTTTATGATTAAAATGTAATCATCGAAATTGAATTGAGCATGTGTATTTCAGTGTCTACAACCATGCCAGAGACATTTGGTATACTAAAAAACAGCATATCTTATGTTACGAAGCCATTCTGTGTTTGTTGTTTGATCGAGCCATCAGTGTTGCTCATTGCAGTTTCGTCTTACAGGACACGATTAACTACACTAGCTCCGCGTGCGTCAGCCGTGCGGTAGTCGCCGTTTCAAATACACAGTGTATTCAGAGTGAGTCTTCAGTTGCGTGCCGGGACGCTCGCGCAAGTGCCGGCGACCGCCGCGGCCAGCAGCGACGATCAGAAAGCCAGGACTTGGCTGTTAGTATGTCTGAGCGATTCTGATTTGAGGGGCGGGGGTTCACCAGGTGCGCTTGTCGGATAGGAGCAAAACAGTACAGCACCGCACGTCGCAAGTGCTGCACAACGCAAGCAAAGCGCTTGTATAGATGTCGCAATTCGGCGTCCTGCGTCAGCAAGTAGACTCAGACAAATGACAATGTTTTTAAGTCCTACACCAGCAAAGTTTTTGAAGAAGAGGGTTGCCGCCGTCTATTATTATCTCTGAGCACTGCTTATGTTGTGCCACGTCAATATCAGTGTTGTTTTCTTCTCGAAAATTTCTTAATCTATCGCTTTGCAGTCTGGTCTAAATGGTTTGCAGACATAACTGTTTGAGACTGCCCTCCCCCATTTTGACAACAAATGTTGCCTGAAATCGTCCGGGGAACCTTTGACGTGCCACCAAATGCGTTGGAACGGTCATGCCGTATGGTCGTGAAGGTCCTTTCGCCTCCCACCTACTGGCATCTGCCGGGTCAAACAATCTGCCGCCCCTGGGACTGAACGCCAGGTACCTACCACGTGCTGGTATCAGAGTCTAAACTACTTGGACACGACTGCGGGAGCCAGGACCATTTCAAACATATGGGTAATGCCCCAAAGATCGACCGCCGAATCGCAAGCTTGCGACAGCTGAGAACCACGTGGTCGCCGCCTGAGGAGCTAGTGCTTCCATGAGAGGGAAAGCTCATGAATCGTTTAATTGCACGTCAAGTATATGATGTTATCCAAGGAAATTTAAGCACAGTTTAGTCAGCCTTAATTTTGATTGTGTCATGAACTATCTAACAATTAGTACGCATTTGTTTGCGTATACTGTAAACAAATGCATGTTGTACAAATGGTAATTGCACGTAGGCATTAAGATAATAATGATGATAGCATAGAAGGCAACCGCTAGCTGATAGTGATTCGGTTGACGACCAACATTTTCCGGTAAGATAGCGTAATAAATTGGAGGTACAGGCAAAATCGATTATGCATGACACATGAAACGCCAACTCTTTTCCCAGAACATCGGGCTACGTTAAGCGCTTACGACAGCTAGAGACGTGCTTACTGGCTTACTGGTCTGAGAAAAGTGTATCTTCGTTTTACATAAAAAGTAGACCCAGACGCTATATCGAATTGAGTGCCCAGTAAGCCAGTTCATACCTGGGGCAGTCAGTTTCCGAAAGAGCATATTCTGCCGTGGTGTGGTGCAAGGGTAGATAGTTCGGACATAGGTCGGGTGACAGACGTCGAACCCGCCTCACATGCCAATAAGTGGTGGTGATGATCCACAAACACGCAACAAAGCAATTACACAATCGGTTCTCGGTCGGTCATGCGGGTAGTTGTCGCCGACGGGTAGCCGGTCCAGGGCGGTGGCCGCCGACGACGTGAGGCGGTAGGGTGCAGGCAAGCAACAACCAAAAAGAACGGCTTAAATTCTGTGACTTGATATTGAGAGAAGAAGCCCGTGTTTTTTGGATTTTATCACCTGGCTTTGGCAGGCAGTATTTGAAGCCTCCAAATTTGTTTGGAACCTGAAATCCTGTCACAAAACCTCACGTGAAAAGCAGACAGGGAAATTAAGTTCATGAAAAGTTTTGGATTTTGGATGGACTGGAATTCAAAATTATTATGAGGTTGCGCACGGGCTCTGTATTGTGGAGACAGATGATTCGAAATGACCCGAAATGCCATTCTAGAGAAGCAAGTTTGCTAAAGCAAATATAATTGACCATATTGACCATAATTGACCCTATTTGAGGTTGCGCACGGGCTCTGTATCGTGGAGACAGATGATTCGAAATGACCCGAAATGCCATTCTAGAGAAGCAAGTTTGCTAAAGCAAATATAATTGACCAATGACCATTGAAAACAACTCCAAATATCATAGCCCACATTCTGGCATCATGAACTGAAAAATTAAGTAGGTCTTATCCAACTAAAACCTGGTTTTAAATATTTATAAGGTAACAAGATCAAATACTGACTTCGGACATCCGCTATGAACATCATCGGATTCCGCGTGTTTTATTAAACTGTTGGTACATACACATGCTTCTGATATTTGTCTTTGTGTCATGATTTTAAGACAGCTGCATGAGGTATCCTGATAAGTTCAAAACACTCAGACCAGACCAGCTTTATCATAAGGACACACACAGCGGAAACCTGCCCGTTCGAATTTTGCGATGCCAAGAACCATGTAGGCAACATCCAACTATGCATGCACCTTTGTAAATTGTGTCACTTAATGCAAAACAAACACATAGTAAGCATGTGCGATAGCCGTATCTGCAAATTAATAACCATGTGAATAGCTGTGAAGCAGGCATATGAACTGTTCATAACCCAGAACTCAACAAAAACGTGCGCTCCTTCTCAAGCTTAATAGGTGACAAGATACTATGTCCATGTGCAGATCTAACCGGCTATGTCCTTTTGCAATGCTGGTATAATATACGACCTTTTAACAATGCAGCCGGCTTGGACAAGACCTCGTGGCGCAGGCACCTTGCCATCCCATTACCACGCCAACAAATTACTACCCACAAACGGCCCCTGGTACAGGCATGGTACAGAGCTGGTTACAAGCGGACGTCGCGGACCAAGCGTGTCTAACGTCCACGAACAGGAAACTGTGGAGCTTTAGCGGCCCCGGCCCGGCCCGGCTAGTCACGCTTTGGAATGGCTGTTATCTTTGCAGACAGTGATCGTGCCACCATTTTCAGCCAGAAGTACCACATTCATTTAGCTTGTGCTGCAGTACTTACCAGGCGCAAGCAAGCTGTTGGATCAAGTGTCGTATTTCTGCAATGTTGCAATATCACCGGTGGTTCACCTCCCCATTTGATCAATACGGAAAAGTTCAAATGCTTGAATCGCTGAAACGCCTGAGAACATTTGTCGGAAGCAGATCTAGATCAGGGAGGTCAGGCGTTACAGCCAGATGGGATTAAGTAGTACTAGCAGAAGAGAATACGCACAGCTGTGCCGGCGAAGATGTTGGCCGATGCTCACGGACTATGGCGCGCAATCGTGGGCAAACCACGGATCTTCCCATTTTCGGGCGTTTTTAAGGATTGATGTCAGATCCCAGCAGTGAGAGCAAGTAGAGACATGAAACCAGTTGTGTGGTGTGGGTGGACACGCCATCTACCAACCATACTGTGATCGCAACACTGCCCGACCAGTACGGGCCAGGGACGGACCAAGAAGCAACCAAGGCATAACACCTTTTACAAAAATGGCCTCAAATACAACC